GGTTCTTGACTTGTTACATCAGTTTAAACATTTAATTTGATTTAAGGTTAGTGAAACATTTATTTGTATAATTTGGACATAAGGATACTGTATACATTTCAGGAAGGATTTTACTATGATTTAGTTAATTTGTTGTCCTAGTAATCTTCAGGACATGTTACACTTGTAGTAAAATTAATAATGTTAGATTAATATTAATTGAGACATGGTAGTTTCTTTCTGATTTAATGTTTGATATAAAGACGGAGGAAAAAATCTTTTAATAATTTGTATTTTTATTATTAAAAAATAATAGAATGCAATTTTGTATCCATGTGTTGTCAATCTTAAATGAGAATTTTACAGTTGATTTAATGTGACTTAAGTGCTTACATGTTTCACTAACCTTTGATCTGTTATAAGTATTCCTATTTATATGTCACTGCTAGTCATTCGGCCCAGTTGTCCTTGTGTTAGTGTGGTGTGAGGACTGACAATGTAGTTGGTGTTGACAATGTCTCTATGTCCGCATGTTTACTTTTACATCGTTTGATTATTTACAAGTTAGTGATTTCTTTAATTATATTTGTATTCAGTTGATTTATATTTTCGCTTGCTATAATTTATTTTTATAAAATTTTCTATTTCATTCCTTCCAGACACAAAACAACACCCATTAAAAGCCTTGTTATGGATATTTATATTGTGTTTATGTCACTAACATTCTGTGTGTGTTTTACACGTGAAGATTACTATTATGTACATTATAGACATTTACGTCATCATGAACATTCCATGTACATCATGAATGCCTAGAACGTTGTGTTTGTCATGGACATCCTGAACACTTATATGTCATGAACAATGTTTGTATGTCATGAACATTGTTTGTATGTCATGAACAATGTTTGTATGTCTTGAACATTGTTTGTATGTCATGAACAATGTTTGTATGTCTTGAAAACTTTGTCGTGAACATTGTTTGTATGTCTTGAAAACTTTGTCATGAACAATGTTTGTATGTCATGAACATTGTTTGTATGTCATGAACATTCTTTGTATCAACATTCTTTGTATGTCATGAACAATGTTTGTATGTCATAAAAACTTTGTCGTGAACATTGTTTGTATGTCATGAACATTCTTTGTATCAACATTCTTTGTATGTCATGAACAATGTTTGTATGTCATAAAAACTTTGTCGTGAACATTGTTTGTATGTCATGAACATTCTTTGTATCAACATTCTTTGTATGTCATGAACAATGTTTGTATGTCATAAAAACTTTGTCGTGAACATTGTTTGTATGTCATGAACATTCTTTGTATCAACATTCTTTGTATGTCATGAACAATGTTTGTATGTCATACAAACTTTGTCGTGAACATTGTTTGTATGTCTTGAAAACTTTGTCGTGAACAATGTTTTGTTTATGATGAATACTCTTTCAATGTCATGAAGACTTTATACATCATGAACACTTTATACATCATGAACACCTAATACATCATGAACACTTTATACATCATGAACATTCCTTCTGGGTCATGAACATCAATTGTACGTCATGCACATTCTTTGTACATCATGAACTTGTGTTATGAACATTCTATGTACAATTGAATCATCGCTTTTGTGTCATGAACATTTTTGAATGTCATAAAACATTTGTATGTCATTTACAATATCTTCATCATGTATATTTAAATGTGATGAACACTTTATGTATGGAGATGTCCAATATTCTGTTTCCTGCTTTTAAATCATTTTTCGCTGGTTATGGGTATATAGATAATTACAAGATAGTTGATTAGCTGAAAGAAATTTTAATGACTAATCCTTTCCCTTGAATTGATCTTATTAATTAGATATAACCAAATACATCAAATTGAACGACTAAGCACATTGTGATTGGAAAGAAAATAATATAATAACTATAAAGTTATTTCTAGAACTGCTGAAAATGTGAGACTGATTGAGCTCGAGATAAGTACTAATAGTAATACCCGGCCTCCTCTGCCCTGGCCCTCTCGTCATCAGAAAGCTACGTTATTGCAGCTAGATTGAGATAAAATTCAGTATTTATCAGTAGCTTTTATAAATACCATGTATTCATATCCACAAAAAAAGGTTATCAAAGACGATTACTGGACTGTTTAAGATATATAAGAAAAATGGCCGTGCTGTTAAAATTACACATTAATGCTATGGTCATATGTTTTATCTGTAGTGACAATCAAATCAAATTGTGTGCAGTCTTTTAAGCAAAGCACAATATCACCTTTTCTGAGTGTTTTATTTCACCGGTTTGTGTTAATACCCTTCAACACTTTGTCTTATTGTGGTTTTCTTCTGCAAATATGTCAAAGATTTATTAGGCTTTTGTTTTATGGCCATTATTCAGATATTGTCAAAACTTTCATTTTATTAGAATTAATAATCATTTCTATGCCAGGTTGTAAATGCTGGTTGTTTATTAAGAATGGTAAGAAAGACCTATCAATTTCCGGACTACCTATATACATTAAATAGATATGTTAACTATATGTAATGAAATAGACACATTATAATTATTCATCTCAACACAGCCTTATATTACCATTACACAACACAGCCTTATATTACCTTTACACAACATAGCCTTATATTACCATTACACAACACAGCCTTATATTAACATTACACAACACAGCCTTATATTACCATTACACAACACAGCCTTATATTAACATTACACAACACAGCCTTATATTACCATTACACAACACATCCTTATATTACCATTACACAACACAAACGCATGCTGATGCTGCTGAATGTATTCTATTTATAGGTACTAAACTTCTACTACTTAATACTTATTGCCTTGAATTAAATAATCTGTGATTGGGGTCAAAGGGCATGTACATAGGAACGGGGCATATATATATATATGTCAGTAGATTGGCAAACCAGCCTATATCTGTATCTCTGTTCAATTTTTGTAATAAATTATTGACAACTCATGAAATTTTTCGTTTTTTTGTGGTTGCATAATTTTTAATTTGTAACTTAAGAAAAGTAATACAACGTTAATATTATGATATCAGCTTTAATGAAAAAGTTTTGATTCGGAAGCCAAATTGATATTGTGCAAAAACAATCCTTTCAGACATATGGTCTCGTGAAACTGATAGCATCTACTTAACAGTGAACCTTCGGAATTTCGACCTTGCTGTCGCTTCAACGAGCAGTCCCAATGACTGAACAGAAGTGTGCAAAATGTATGAAGGTGTGTTACAGTAGACGTGTAGCTGTGCTTGTCGTCTGCTTTCTGTGATCAGACAACTCAGACTTTCCCCATTTCAGCGTTTGTTCTACTCCACCTATTTCGTCAGGTACAAGCATATTCGTCAGCCCAGAGACATATAAAGCCATATACTCTATATTCATACAAATCACCCTGCGTCCGTAGTCCGTGCTTAAACAATTCTTGTTATCGCTATTTCTCAGGAAGTACTAGATCTTTCTGAAATTTTGTATGTAGGTTCCCCTTGGTCCTTAGTTGTGCACATTTACTTTAGGACTGATCAGATACAAAATGGCCGACTTGCAGCCATCTTAGATTTTGACAGTGGTGGTTTGTTATCGCTATTTCTCAAAAAGTACTGGGGAGATCTTTCTCAAATATGACATGTAGGTTCCCCTTGGTCTGTTGTTTTTTATGTTTCCTTTGAGACTAATCAGAAAAATAAAATGGCCGACAGGCAGCCATCTTGGATTTTGACAGTAAACGTTTGTTATCGCTCTTCTCGAGAAGTACTGGGGGGGATCGTTCTCAAATTTGATATGTAGGTTCCCATTGGTCCTCGTTGGGCATGTTAACGTTTGAGACTGATCAGATAAACAAATGCCCGACAGGCAGCCATCTTGAGTTTTGACAATGAAGGGTTGTAATCGCTATTTCTTAATAAGGACTGGAGAGATCCTTCTCAAATTTTACATGTAGGTTCCCCTTGGTCTGTCGTTTTGCATGTTTTGTTATGGGACTGACCAGATAAACACATCTTTGATTTTGACAGTTACGGTTTGTTAGTGCTATTTCCCAGGAAGTACTGGAGGTTTCTTTCTCACATTTAACATGTAGGTTCCCCTTGATCCCTAGTTGTGCATGTTTTATTTTGAGACTGATCACAAAATCTAATTGGCCGACGGAAGAACTGATCGGTTCTATTTCTTTCACATTAAGTACTGAACTAGTAAATATGTGAAATGACAAACTCACTTTGAAGGTTGTCTTTTATACACAGCAGCATTAAGTTTTAATCAAAAGTTACCTCAAGGTGCATTTATTGTGTAAACATGTAAACAGATAAGACAAAAGAAGAGAAAAGCTGAAACTGACAAAGAACTAATGAAAATGGTACGAGAGTGGGCGCCAAGGGCCCTCTGGGATTTCTTGGGTCGTTTTACACGGCGTCTTTTCAATATCTGAGGTCATGTTGACAGTTGTTGACGTTGGCGATTGCTTGAAGGAATCAGACGTTCACGAGCACGTTCGTTACATCACGTGCTTTTGATTGCAAACACAAACTGCACAGGAATAAGTATCACGCGCCATTGGCAACACGTACATCCGTTTTAAGAAAGGTGCGATCTGCTTTACAAAAAACAACTTTGTGCGATGCTTAGGAATTTTATGCAACGGGGAAAAAATGCTTACTTAAACAGGTTAAAAGTGTACTGAAGTATAAATTTAGGAAAGTAGTATAAATTTAAGAAAATATATTTAGAGTTGCTTTGAATACGAATGATTAAATATGTTCTCTGCCTATCAAACAGGTATAACCAATAGCTTTTGTAGTTTGGACTTAGTCTCTCTCTCTCCAAATTCTCTCTTTCTCTCTCTCTCCAATAACTGACTTCAACGATTCATAAGCATATGCTCCGTCTTCCTACCAAGGTCGCCACAGCAAACTCTGAAGTTTGGACCTGTTCTCTGGCTGCTAACCAGACTGGGGAAGAAATATCTGACAACCAGTGTTACAGTTTCCATTACAAGAAACCTGCATGTTTATTCGATATAAACTGTTCCAAGATGTGCGTATACATATATATATTTATAAATATGCTGAAACTTAAAATACCCTGAAGTTCTCAATTTGTCAACAAGTCCACTAAATGATTAGGAATTGCGACTAGTGTGAGATTCTCGTGCAATCGGGGTGTTGACGAAACATGTACAAGTTAAAGCATTTTACAAATCTACAATTATTTTTGTCCTTCACCACATGTATGCTTTCACGACGATTTCCAATAAAGCATGCCAAGTATATATGTATATATGATAACATGTACAGGTATGTATAGCCATCGCAATATGGGCGTTATAACTCTAATACTGTTTGTGTGTAGCAAAGTCTAAGGTGAAAACTACTTCAACAGTGTTACAGGTTTACACGGCGAGATACTTTTGACAGGTGCCGTTTATATAATTAACAGTCGGTAAAATCATATCCGATAGAAAAAAAGGCCGACCAGCGGCCTACCTGCCTTCTCCAATCATTTACAGAATTATCTCCCGTTTTATCTGTTCATGATTCTTCCATCAGCCCCGGCCCTGGGGTTGGCAGATATGAACCCAAAAGAAATAATATTATAACATCAGATATGACGTCACAATCAGCTCTCGACGGGAGACGTCATATGCGAATCATGATAAAACATAATTACAGTTCACAGTTTTATAAAAAATATTGTTTCTACAAAAGTATTGGAATGATAGAAGAAAAAGAATAATCCCTACCATGGGAATGTAATAAAGAAATCTTAACCCATTGGGGTGTTTATTTGGTTGTTCTCGACAGAGCACCGGGATAGACGCGAAATAATCACCCCTCGGGTTGGAGATTTCTCAGTAGCACCTCCAAGACTGGGGAAGATTCAATTATTCCTTTTAGAGTAGAAAAAAATGTTTCTTTTCCCTTTAGGAGTTGAGATCCATGAAGTCCTCATTTCAAACAATATCCTGACGTGTTTTGTATAGCCATTGCCGAAAACTGTTCACGGAAACAAACGGAAACATCCGATCATGATCGGTGTCTGTCTCGTATTCTTGCAAGGTAAGGATAAATACATACATATATATATATATATATAGCTATCTTATCTTTGGCGTTTGTACATGAGGCAAGGTCTTGGACATGCATCTCTTAACAAATGTTAATTATTAACTTTGCGGTACCGAGCTTCAGTTTCACATATGAAGTGATTTGTGTTCTCGCACTCGCGATCGTTCCATCTCCACTGGAACTTTGCCAGCAGTTCCAGACAGTCCTGGCCTAGACGGACATTGTTGGGCTGATCTGGCCCCCAGTCGTAGTACCCGATTATAGCGCCAGTGGAGTCCCATTCCCATCTAGCTTCCGTAATTATATCATGTCCTCCAATCCAGTACGAGTCGCCTGGCAGCACAGACAAAGTTTAAACATATCATTTAAGTATGATTATCTTTCAATTAATGTAGGTTGTACATTTTTTTTATTTTAGGATAAGGGCCCCACCCGCATAAAAATGGAGGGGTATAGTGCTACGCATGTCCATTCCGTCGCGATTTCTGTCACATCCCCAATATAACACAAACTTTCAAAAACATTAATGGATCTGTCACATGACTGTTCTAAATTTGGAAAGCTTCTCTAATTCTATCATGAAAATGTGTATTTGTGTTCTCAATAAGCATCCAGTTTCCATGGTAACCCACTGACATGGCCTAAAGTAATGACATTTGAATATTCTATCAATTTTGTTAAGTTTTCGATTAGCTTACATCTAGCACACGCTTCAACAAATTTACATCTCTCCAGTCCTAATAATGATTTTTAATAGAAATAAAACCATGCCAAAAATTACAAAATTTACTGAATACTTGGCAACCGTAAGTAAATTCACAAAACATCATCATTTATTCAAAATTATAGAAACACTCATTTGAAAGTTTTGATAAAGGGTTTTGAATTTTGATGGGTTTGGGAACCAAAACGGCCCGAACCATACTGGGTCATCTTTTCCTGTTTCTTACTGGCTGTATAGTAGTGTTGTACCTAGCATTTTTATTAGGTCACCTGAGCTTTAGCTCAAGTGACATATTGCTGCCACGGCAATATTTAATTAATTTTAATTTTAATACTTGATTTAAGTCAAGTTCTGCTTGGCCGATTGAACTGAAACTTTGTAGGAATGATTGTATCATGGTCCTGACAAAGTGTTGTTATTTTTGGGGTCGATCAGAAATCCAATATGGCCGACACGGTCGCCATTTAAAAAACTATTTCAAACTTAAAGTCAAGTTCTACTGGGCCGATTGACCTGAAACTTTGTAGGAATGATCGACTCATGGTCCTGACAAACTTAAGTTAACGTTATGCTTAACTATTTTGTACTCGAATTGGTACATATTTCAACAACAAAAATAAATACTGTAGGACTCAGGTGACCGTTTAGGCCCATGGGCCTCTTGTTTAAGAAGTAATCAACGTATGCGCGTGCGTTATACATAACGAGGGTGAGAGAATGTTGCAAAATAATAATTAACGAAGCCGCTTGCGACTTCGTTTGACAAAGGACAATAGTCCCGCGACTCACTTGCGGGGAAAGTTTTTAGAAGAGTGTTGGTCTGCTGGAAAATAATCCATGCACGTGCATGGTCTATCGTCCAATAATACATGTTTATTAAACAAGGGAAAATGTCGTTATATCGCAAACATGGTAGAAATTCGCATTAGTACACTTTCCTAAAGGAAATCTTAGATATCGTTTAGTCAAACGATCCGACCACTATCATTTACCTCGTGTTCTGGCTTCCCTCTTGAGAACATCGTTGATTACTTCCGTTGTCGCCTCAGCCATTCTACCACCATTGACCATTCTTCCACACGCTGTCTGTCAATATCAACCGACGTTCATATACATTAATTTCAGAGTGTATCGTTCTTGATTCTAAGTAAGAAGTTGAGCTATTATTTAACACTAAGGTGTTCAGAGTAATTTTACACGTTGAAGGGGTTTAGATCGACTTTCAAGGAAATGCCACCCCCAAGTATAATTTACCGAAAGTCGATCTAAACTTCTAAACGTGTGAAATTACTCTGAACACCTTAGTTTAGGTCCAAATATAGCTGTAACAAATGCTCAGGTCCCTGTGCTGTAGAGGTATTCCTACCACGATGGCGTCTCACTGCATGGTTGTACGACGCGATTATTGTACGTTTGTATCCTCTTTCACATAAACTGAGTAGATATTTAGAGAACTTTGTATTTTTCTTCTGTCCTGCTGATTGCTGCCAAGGCGTTTGTCTTGACATCTAAGTATCTACACCCAGTGACGTATAAAGTTTTAAATCCGTACAAGACATTGTTGTAACCCACAAAGTAATAAAACCGAAACAAATGTAAAATATATTAGATTTTGCAGTTTAAAGTAACAGATTTACAAGTTCAACGTGTGTCCGTGATTCTCATATGCATATACTTACCATCATATGGCATTGCCACTATATAACCCTACCAAATTCAGTTGACATTCATATAGGCTATGAACGCCATGGACCTATCGTTGACGTCATCATTATTAAAACGTCATAATTAATATTGTTACGTTGGATACCACTGGCCCTCCCAGGGCGATGGCTGTTCTATTCATTGAACAAGCATACATGATACATACATTATTTGAACTAAATGCTGAATAATAAGTGTAATTGAATTTTGTTTGAGATGAACAGATTCATTTTGGATTTGCCTTTGTCCAGTTGGAATTTATATTGCGTATGAATGCCAATTAAAATCAGTCCAATGCTTAAATGAACTCACCTTTGCTACTTGCCAAGAACTTTGATAGGTACTAAAATGATAGCAACGATCATCAAACAACACCCATGATTCGTCGGAACACGTTAACTCAACACTTCGGTCTGTAATAAAAATGATGATGATATTTTATTCAAATAAAAGTCGTACACAAACAAAACAGCTGATATAAAGAAATATATATATATACACATGTGTAGGTGGTTTAAAAATTGATACTAACTGTCCTATTTAGCTTTCACTTCTTCGCCCTTTTCCGTCGCATGGCCGAAAAAAAAGGCCGATCGTAGTCCGACCCGGGGTAACTCATCAATCATAGAAGGATTGCTTCCATTAGGATCCCTACGATAAAGCACTAGGCCCGTACCATTTGGATCCCTTCGGTAAAGCTCTAGGCTCGTACCATTTGGACCTCTACGGTAAAGCTCTAAACTCGTACCATTTGGACCCCTACGGTAAAGCTCTAGGCTCGTACCAATTGGATCCCTACGGTAAAGCTCTAGGCCCGTACCATTCGGATCCCTACGGTAAAGCTCTAGGCTCGTTCCATTAGGACCCCTGCGGTAAAGCTCTAAACTCGTACCATTCGGATCACTACGGAAAAGCTCTAGGCTCGTACCATTTGGATCCCTAAGGTAAAGCTCTAGGCTCGTACCATTTGGACCTCTACGGTAAAGCTCTAAACTCGTACCATTTGGATCCCTACGGTAAAGCTCTAGGCCCGTACCATTTTGATCCCTACGGTAAAGCCCTAGGCTCGTACCATTTGGACCCCTACGGTAAAGCTCTAGGCCCGTACCATTTGGATCCCTACGGTAAAGCTCTAGGCTCGTACCATTTGGACCCCTACGGTAAAGCTCTAGACTCGTACCATTCGGATCCCTACGGTAAAGCTCTAGGCTCGATCCATTTGGATCCCTACGGTAAAGCTCTACACTCGTACCATTCGGACCCCTACGGTAAAGCTCTAGGCCATTACCATTTGGATCCCTACGGTAAAGCTCTAGGCCCGTACCATTTGGATCCCTACGGTAAAGCTCTAGGCTCGTACCATTCGGATCCCTACGGTAAAGCTCTAGGCTCGTACCATTTGGATCCCTACGGTAAAGCTCTAGGCTCGATCCATTTGGATCCCTACGGTAAAGCTCTACACTCGTACCATTCGGATCCCTACGGTAAAGCTCTAGGCCCGTACCATTTGGATCCCTACGGTAAAGCTCTAGGCTCGTACCATTCGGATCCCTACGGTAAAGCTCTAGGCTCGTACCATCTGGATCCCTACGGTAAAGCACTAAACTCGTACCATTCGGATCCCTACGATAAAGCTCTAGGCTCGTACCATTCGGATCCCTACGGTAAAGCTCTAGGCCCGGACCATTTGGACCCCTACGGTAAAGCTCTAGGCCCGTACCATTTGGATCCCTACGGTAAAGCTCTAAACTCGTACCATTCGGATCCCTACGATAAAGCTCTAGGCTCGTACCATTTGGATCCCTACGGTAAAGCACTAAACTCGTACCATTAGGATCCCTACGATAAAGCTCTAGGCTCGTACCATTTGGATCCCTACGGTAAAGCTTTAGGCTCGTACTATTTGGATACCTACGGTAAAGCTCTAGGCTCTTACCATTTGGACCCCTACGGTAAAGCTCTAGGCTCGTACCATTCGGATCCCTACGGTAAAGCTCTAGGCTCGTACCATTTGGATCCCTACGGTAAAGCTCTAGGCCCGTACCATTTGGATCCCTACGGTACAGCTCTAGGCCCGTTTTCAGGAAATGTTGTGCTCATGCTTAATTTCTTGTTCCGGTTATAACTTCATAATAACATCTTATTTTGTTGACGATTTAAAAAACAAATTGAAAAGACATAAAGCCGTATACTGTTTCAAGGTTGACGTTTTAAGCGAGTAATCCATGCCTGAGCGTGAGAACGGTTTCATGAATACGGCCCAACATTGTAACAACAACATGGAACTAACGTGTACGTGCTCTATGTACTGAATTACGATCGAAACAAAAACTGCCGTATTGACAGGTTTTCGGACTGCGCGGGTTCCATAACTACAGGTAGTTAAAGTAACAGTAGGCACAGGTCTAGCACCTGTTGCAAACTGGGGCCTGTTAATCCTACTTCAGACCTAACACTAAAGAATTCGACATAAAGATCCCTATCCTACCTCAAACCTAACACTAGAGAAATTCCACATAAAGATCCCTATCCTACTTCAGACCTAACACTAGAGAATTCCTCATAAAGACCTCTATCCTAATTCAGACCTAACACTAGAGAATTCCATATAACAATCCCTATCCTACTTCAGACCTATCACTAGAGAATTCCACATAAAGATTCCTATCCTATTTCAGACTTATCACTAGAGAATTCTGCATAAAGATCCCTATCCTACTTCAGACCTAACACTAGAGAATTCCACATAAAGATTCCTATCCTACTTCAGACTTATCACTAGAGAATTCTGCATAAAGATCCCTATCCTACTTCAGACCTGACACTAGAGAATTCTACATAAATATCCCTATCCTACCTGTGACCTTACACTAGAGATTTCCACATAAAGATCCCTATCCTACCTCAGATCTAACACTATATAATTCCACATAAAGATCCCTATCCTACTTCAGACCTATCACCAGAGAATTCCACATAAAGATCCCTATCCTACCTCAGACCTAACACTAGAGAATTCCACATAAAGATCCCTATCCTACTTCAGACCTAACACTAGAGAATTCCACATAAAGATCCCTATCCTACTTCAGACCTAACACTAGAGAATTCCACATAAAGATCCCTATCCTACTTCAGACCTAACACTAGAGAATTCCACATAAAGATCCCTATCCTACTTCAGACCTAACACTAGAGAATTCCACATAAAGATCCCTATCCTACTTCAGACCTAACACTAGAGAATTCCACATAAAGATCCCTATCCTACTTCAGACCTAACACTAGAGAATTCCACATAAAGATCCCTATCCTACTTCAGACCTAACACTAGAGAATTCCACATAAAGATCCCTATCCTACTTCAGACCTAACACTAGAGAATTCCACATAAAGATCCCTATCCTACTTCAGACCTAACACTAGAGAATTCCACATAAAGATCCCTATCCTACTTCAGACCTAACACTAGAGAATTCCACATAAAGATCCCTATCCTACTTCAGACCTAACACTAGAGAATTCCACATAAAGATCCCTATCCTACTTCAGACCTAACACTAGAGAATTCCACATAAAGATCCCTATCCTACTTCAGACCTAACACTAGAGAATTCCACATAAAGATCCCTATCCTACTTCAGACCTAACACTAGAGAATTCCACATAAAGATCCCTATCCTACTTCAGACCTAACACTAGAGAATTCCACATAAAGATCCCTATCCTACTTCAGACCTAACACTAGAGAATTCCACATAAAGATCCCTATCCTACTTCAGACCTAACACTAGAGAATTCCACATAAAGATCCCTATCCTACTTCAGACCTAACACTAGAGAATTCCACATAAAGATCCCTATCCTACTTCAGACCTAACACTAGAGAATTCCACATAAAGATCCCTATCCTACTTCAGACCTAACACTAGAGAATTCCACATAAAGATCCCTATCCTACTTCAGACCTAACACTAGAGAATTCCACATAAAGATCCCTATCCTACTTCAGACCTAACACTAGAGAATTCCACATAAAGATCCCTATCCTACTTCAGACCTAACACTAGAGAATTCCACATAAAGATCCCTATCCTACTTCAGACCTAACACTAGAGAATTCCACATAAAGATCCCTATCCTACTTCAGACCTAACACTAGAGAATTCCACATAAAGATCCCTATCCTACTTCAGACCTAACACTAGAGAATTCCACATAAAGATCCCTATCCTACTTCAGACCTAACACTAGAGAATTCCACATAAAGATCCCTATCCTACTTCAGACCTAACACTAGAGAATTCCACATAAAGATCCCTATCCTACTTCAGACCTAACACTAGAGAATTCCACATAAAGATCCCTATCCTACTTCAGACCTAACACTAGAGAATTCCACATAAAGATCCCTATCCTACTTCAGACCTAACACTAGAGAATTCCACATAAAGATCCCTATCCTACTTCAGACCTAACACTAGAGAATTCCACATAAAGATCCCTATCCTACTTCAGACCTAACACTAGAGAATTCCACATAAAGATCCCTATCCTACTTCAGACCTAACACTAGAGAATTCCACATAAAGATCCCTATCCTACTTCAGACCTAACACTAGAGAATTCCACATAAAGATCCCTATCCTACTTCAGACCTAACACTAGAGAATTCCACATAAAGATCCCTATCCTACTTCAGACCTAACACTAGAGAATTCCACATAAAGATCCCTATCCTACTTCAGACCTAACACTAGAGAATTCCACATAAAGATCCCTATCCTACTTCAGACCTAACACTAGAGAATTCCACATAAAGATCCCTATCCTACTTCAGACCTAACACTAGAGAATTCCACATAAAGATCCCTATCCTACTTCAGACCTAACACTAGAGAATTCCACATAAAGATCCCTATCCTACTTCAGACCTAACACTAGAGAATTCCACATAAAGATCCCTATCCTACTTCAGACCTAACACTAGAGAATTCCACATAAAGATCCCTATCCTACTTCAGACCTAACACTAGAGAATTCCACATAAAGATCCCTATCCTACTTCAGACCTAACACTAGAGAATTCCACATAAAGATCCCTATCCTACTTCAGACCTAACACTAGAGAATTCCACATAAAGATCCCTATCCTACTTCAGACCTAACACTAGAGAATTCCACATAAAGATCCCTATCCTACTTCAGACCTAACACTAGAGAATTCCACATAAAGATCCCTATCCTACTTCAGACCTAACACTAGAGAATTCCACATAAAGATCCCTATCCTACTTCAGACCTAACACTAGAGAATTCCACATAAAGATCCCTATCCTACTTCAGACCTAACACTAGAGAATTCCACATAAAGATCCCTATCCTACTTCAGACCTAACACTAGAGAATTCCACATAAAGATCCCTATCCTACTTCAGACCTAACACTAGAGAATTCCACATAAAGATCCCTATCCTACTTCAGACCTAACACTAGAGAATTCCACATAAAGATCCCTATCCTACTTCAGACCTAACACTAGAGAATTCCACATAAAGATCCCTATCCTACTTCAGACCTAACACTAGAGAATTCCACATAAAGATCCCTATCCTACTTCAGACCTAACACTAGAGAATTCCACATAAAGATCCCTATCCTACTTCAGACCTAACACTAGAGAATTCCACATAAAGATCCCTATCCTACTTCAGACCTAACACTAGAGAATTCCACATAAAGATCCCTATCCTACTTCAGACCTAACACTAGAGAATTCCACATAAAGATCCCTATCCTACTTCAGACCTAACACTAGAGAATTCCACATAAAGATCCCTATCCTACTTCAGACCTAACACTAGAGAATTCCACATAAAGATCCCTATCCTACTTCAGACCTAACACTAGAGAATTCCACATAAAGATCCCTATCCTACTTCAGACCTAACACTAGAGAATTCCACATAAAGATCCCTATCCTACTTCAGACCTAACACTAGAGAATTCCACATAAAGATCCCTATCCTACTTCAGACCTAACACTAGAGAATTCCACATAAAGATCCCTATCCTACTTCAGACCTAACACTAGAGAATTCCACATAAAGATCCCTATCCTACTTCAGACCTAACACTAGAGAATTCCACATAAAGATCCCTATCCTACTTCAGACCTAACACTAGAGAATTCCACATAAAGATCCCTATCCTACTTCAGACCTAACACTAGAGAATTCCACATAAAGATCCCTATCCTACTTCAGACCTAACACTAGAGAATTCCACATAAAGATCCCTATCCTACTTCAGACCTAACACTAGAGAATTCCACATAAAGATCCCTATCCTACTTCAGACCTAACACTAGAGAATTCCACATAAAGATCCCTATCCTACTTCAGACCTAACACTAGAGAATTCCACATAAAGATCCCTATCCTACTTCAGACCTAACACTAGAGAATTCCACATAAAGATCCCTATCCTACTTCAGACCTAACACTAGAGAATTCCACATAAAGATCCCTATCCTACTTCAGACCTAACACTAGAGAATTCCACATAAAGATCCCTATCCTACTTCAGACCTAACACTAGAGAATTCCACATAAAGATCCCTATCCTACTTCAGACCTAACACTAGAGAATTCCACATAAAGATCCCTATCCTACTTCAGACCTAACACTAGAGAATTCCACATAAAGATCCCTATCCTACTTCAGACCTAACACTAGAGAATTCCACATAAAGATCCCTATCCTACTTCAGACCTAACACTAGAGAATTCCACATAAAGATCCCTATCCTACTTCAGACCTAACACTAGAGAATTCCACATAAAGATCCCTATCCTACTTCAGACCTAACACTAGAGAATTCCACATAAAGATCCCTATCCTACTTCAGACCTAACACTAGAGAATTCCACATAAAGATCCCTATCCTACTTCAGACCTAACACTAGAGAATTCCACATAAAGATCCCTATCCTACTTCAGACCTAACACTAGAGAATTCCACATAAAGATCCCTATCCTACTTCAGACCTAACACTAGAGAATTCCACATAAAGATCCCTATCCTACTTCAGACCTAACACTAGAGAATTCCACATAAAGATCCCTATCCTACTTCAGACCTAACACTAGAGAATTCCACATAAAGATCCCTATCCTACTTCAGACCTAACACTAGAGAATTCCACATAAAGATCCCTATCCTACTTCAGACCTAACACTAGAGAATTCCACATAAAGATCCCTATCCTACTTCAGACCTAACACTAGAGAATTCCACATAAAGATCCCTATCCTACTTCAGACCTAACACTAGAGAATTCCACATAAAGATCCCTATCCTACTTCAGACCTAACACTAGAGAATTCCACATAAAGATCCCTATCCTACTTCAGACCTAACACTAGAGAATTCCACATAAAGATCCCTATCCTACTTCAGACCTAACACTAGAGAATTCCACATAAAGATCCCTATCCTACTTCAGACCTAACACTAGAGAATTCAACATAAAGATCCCTATCCTACTTCAGACCTAACACTAGAGAATTCCACATAAAGATTCCTATCCTACTTCAGACCTAACACTAGAGAATTCAACATAAAGATCCCTATCCTACCTCAGATCTAACACTAGAGAATTCTACATAAAGATCCCTATCCTACTTCAGACCTAACACTAGAGAATTCAACATAAAGATCCCTATCCTACTTCAGACCTAGCACTAGAGAATTCCACATAAAGATTCCTATCCTACTTCAGACCTAACACTAGATAATTCCACTGTATTTTGTTCACACATGCAGCTATCTCCCCTTAAATTCGTTTTGGGTATAAATGTAGAGGGACGAGGCTAGGTAATCACCGCTCAGATGCATCGTGATGGAAGGTCTAGGATTTGAATGCCGCTCTGTCTTTGATCCGTTTTTACTCTCAGATCGTTCTGGTTGATTTTGTTTTCCAACTTCATCTTATCATCGGATATGTTTTATTAAAGACATTGCCATTTCATTAAGTTCCAGTTCATAGTTACACTATTTGGTAGTGGTAAGGGGATCTTTGATGAGACCATACATTCCTCTTATCAGCGAAGCTTGAATTAACTTTATACAAATTGTCTAATACACTAAACAATATTTCACTACCTAGCCTTTCCTTATTTTACCGCTCTAAGAAAACACGAGAGTTTAACCCTAAGAACCTTATATGGACATGTCCAGATCTAAGAAGGGAGGAGTCTACAAAGGCAACTAAAGGAATCAAAACGTCATTTTCCCCATAATTTTTCTAATTGACGTAGCTTTAGTTTTCAAAGTCAACTTTTTTCTAAGATTTGTTAGCGTTTCCACAGTTGATTCAATTTGTATGGATTGCACGATTTTCACGATAAATGTCGATTGCTGACGGAAAAACTATTAACACTGAATACAGGTTAATGTAGAACTATAGGCAAAGGTTATGTTTGGCGTCATGAACTTATTTGCAAACAGTCTAATCCCTTATACAATATGAATATTCATTAGTGTGCCTTGTTCAATATTAATGGATAGCGCACTTGCCTTTCACCAAGGCGGCCGGAGTTCGATTCCCCGATCAGACGTGAAAAGGTTGGGGTCACCTGCCCGACCACGTGGATTTTCTCCGGGTACCGCACAGGTCCTCGTTCCAAAAGGACTTCTTTTGTATTTTTCTCATTTTCCCATGAACATTTGTAATAAACGTTTTGATAATTTAAATTGTCTTTTGGAGTTGGTATTTTTTGTTTGGGATTAAAAAGTCCTCCCGAATAGAAGTATGTGCTAGCATTATATAACCAGAGAACGCTAAAACAATCTATAGTAACATCAACAGAAGATAGTATATGATTTAAACAATAACATAAGATTTTAGACAACATGATAAGGAGAGTATATACATCACTTACTATTTATTTCCTTTTGGAAGTCCTCTATCTGTGCCGATAGGTTTGTGAATGTGTTAGAGATGTTGGCGACACTCTTGGACAATTCGTACATCTGTGTGCTATACATGGCTATGGCGGGAAGTACTGTTTCCTCACGGACCTTCTGCACCATGGCCGTCACCTCTTTGCGTATGTTCATTAGAATGTGTTGTTCCCTCCTGGCTTCTCCATTCTCCTCCCTGTGGGTGGGTGTGAGGACCTGTCCCTGAGCTTGTCCAATTAAACATACCAACAGAAAAAGTAGAGCAACATTCTGCCAAAGTTTTGACGTCCTAATCGCCGCCATATTTCCAATCTCAATGTGTTCACATTAAATTGCTGTTGCGAGGAGAATCGCCGTGCTAGAGTTCCGAAGTTTTATAAGACTGATGCTATGATAGTGATACGCTATGCAAGGCCACTGATATAAATTGTTCGTTGTTAGTACGTCATGAGTATACTCTGTTTATGAAAATAACATTAACATAAAAGCTATTTTTTCGGGGACAAACTTTAATTACCTTTCTTATTCGTCGTTTTATGTATTTCAAACGATATAATTGTCCATGGATTTTATATCCCATAGTGATGATTTTCACGCGTGAATAATAAAAAAGAAGACGAAAAAAAATTCTCAAAAGAAATTGTCTTGCTTGGCTTACATAGAAACAATGTACTATTGTAACGTTGATAAGATACAAGCTTTATGTCATTTGATTTATACGCATAGTTCAATTCGCGATTGTATTCATCATGATATTTGCAAGAATACTGCATGTCTAATTTGCTGTGGTATAAAGTAGCGAATACATCAAAAATCTCGCGAATTTACTTTTTCGTTTTTCAAAAGTAAAATGAATGTCAAATGGATTTTTCATTCATTTCATTGGAGGTTTGATGTGTTTTACGACGTGCCAGGTTTTGGTGGTGGAGGAAAGCCGGAGTTCCTGGAGAAAAACCACCGACCTACGGCCAGTACCTGGCGACCTCCCCGCGTAAATTTCGAACCCGCGACCCAGTGGTGGAGGGCTAGTGGTAGTATAATGTAGAATGTGTTCTGAGTGCAAAATTGTACCAGGCTAGACCGGGATTCGAATTCTGGACCTCATATTGTTATACTTTCGCTCTAACCGACTGAGCTACATCTTCAACGAACGTGTCCTGGCCTAAATTTGCTATAGTTATATCTACGAACAAAAATAGAGTGCACTGAGAAAGAGGGCCTTAAGTATCATTATGAAATGATAATCAGAATTACACATTGGTCTGTCCTTAGCCAATCCTTCCTAACTAAAAACATTATTTCGTCATGCTGAAGCAATAGACGCCAACGTCGGGTGTGAAAGTAAAAACTCAGGAGCTAATGTAATATACAATATCGTTGTTTTTTCTGTTATTTTATCAGATATTTTTCACACTTAGGTGCACGTCAGCAGTAAATTCATTGTCAATAAGCATTTATTAAATAATGTAGAAAAAGAAAAAAAAAAAGTGTTATCTCGATTTAAAAAGTTGTCTGGTTTTACTGCTGATTAAACAGGGTTAGTTTGCGATGGTGTTGTAATCTTAAACAACCATTCGGTCAGAAACCGATACCTAGTAGGTATTAAAACTCGCGCAAAAACAACTAGTTGGACCACTTGTAAACGGCTGAGAAAAGGTCAAGTGGTGTCTTTGTGACAGTGTCGTTATCTACGTGTATAATAACACACTGGTACTAATAGCGATATCATAACACTGAGAAAATACAGGCAAATAGGGCCTGGACTAGCCCTAAGAAGGAATCGTTTTAGACCTGGAGTGACCCCACCGTCTAGGAATTAATATATCGAAGCGCTATTTTTTTATCATGTGAAGCTCATGATAATTTAGTTTAATTGTGAAAAATATGCATCCAGGATTCATTAACACCTTTCCATTTAACATGTAATCAGGAGAAAGAGAAATGCACAGGTTAGACCGGGATTCGAATCAAGGACCCTCCGAACTCTAGACAGACGCTCCAACAATTTAGCTACACTACCTACTTGGTCGCTGACGATCGACCCAGTCCAGTTCCGCTACATTCCTCTCTCCTTTTCCTTTGTCTTCGCCCCAAAGACACAACTATTTGCAAGTCAGGTTCGGATATCCCCTTACTACTATAAGCATTCACCAGTGCTTCAAACAAGCTAACTCGTCAATTTTGTAAGAGAAGAAAGGGAAATGCAACGGGACCGGGATTCGAACCTGAGACCCTCCGAATTCTGGTCGGCTACCTGGTCGCCGACGATCAATCCTGTCGAGTTTCACTACACTAGGAAAGGGAGATGTATTTGATATTAAGCTATATTTAGTACTTATTTTTATTCTTGACATAGGGATTCCTTCATTACTTATTTGCCATTTTTACTTTTGGAAACTAAAATAAAAGCAAACCAAGCAGAAATTTTAAAAATAATGATCGGTGGTCTTTTTCATGATACAAGTAACGGTGAAAGGTACTCAATATCCTAAAAATAAATTAGAAATGTTATTAGAACAGATATTTTATCTTCATAAGTACTCCCATATCGCTGCTATCATAATTGAGAACGCCGAGCGCATGTTCGCCAGGATATCGATGTTAGCCAGCAGATAAACTAGATCGTAAGATCGTTCTTGCAGGTAGGCATTTGTAAATGTTGATTATAATAACCTTATGTCTACACTAAGTTTTATTGTTTTGGTATAACCTCTTGTTTGTACTAAACCAAATAGTGAATTTAATGGTCAAGTGTATCTTTAAGTTTTCAATCTTTAGTTTAGGAAATATAAACACCTGTTTTTAAATAAAAGAATCGCGAATGAAACGGAAGTATAACTTCTAGAAAATTCCTCTTTGTTTCAGAATCATTATACTAGCAGAACGCTGATCACTACTGCAATATACATGTACATGTACGACTGTGCTGGCAGTATTGACATCTGTGCATATATGGGCCAAAGCACTTCAAACTTTGTCCTCGCGGCTTAAATGACGGTAGCTCAAGTGGTGACTATGACTTAATTAATTACTCACACGTTATCAAGTAACGATTGCATTGTTCACAATGAGCACGTCTTCCCATATCTACTAGTACAGATGTTCACAATATACCAGTCTTCCTGTATCTATTAGTACAGATGTTCACAATATACCAGTCTTCCTGTATCTAT